ATAAGCATGGTCCTATACTTATAATTATATGGAAGAATGTGTTGTTCTTTCTAAAATTACAAATTACCAACATTTGAGGAATTTGAAAGAGGCTATATTATTTGAGGGGGGCAATAACATTTGAGGAAACTAACTATGTATTCTCAAACAATATAAATATTCAATTAAGTAACTGCTTCCAGGAAACGACTCCATTTCTTTGTCCAGTCCTTCTTGCCAATGCCACCACCTTTATTTGCCGGCTTCATTCTCCATACCGCATTAATAGTCCATCGTTGAAGACTGTCATCATCCACTTTGCAGAATATAGTCAATGCCTCAATGGTATGCTCCGATTCGTCGTCTTCCATTCTCACGGCCATTGTTGGTTTGCTCTTGATTTCTGTAAGGCAATACACTTCGGGGACTGGAACCAGAGAACTTTGTTCGGCTTTACCCACTTATTCGCTGTATTCTTTTCCATATTCGTTGGAAATGAAGGGGCCTTTTGTGCGTAGAGGCTTTCCTTCTTTTTCCTATTCTGTGATGTTTTCTTTTCCTCTAGAATCGTCGTCGTAATCAACATATTCGTCGAAAATATTGGATCCTTCTGTGTGCAGCGGCTTATCTTCTTTTTCCACTTTTCGATTACTTTTAAATGACTTGATATGTCCCTCCCGGAGGCATTTTTCATCAGTCAGTGTGGGTGCAACACCCGAATTTCCTTCCACATCTCGTTCCTCAAAATGAGGACTTGCCGACGGGAAAAAATTTCAAGAATTTCCTTCCTAGTTTGTAATGTGTTTTAGTTCGACAGAATTGTGTCCCTCTCTTACACATGATAGTTATTTGGACAAGTCATCTTTCCCAGCTTCGACGACTTGCCAATTCTTTTGTTCATCATAGGAACATCTGCTCAATTTCTTCCATAATCGACTTCATTTGCTCCTGCTGCTGCTGCAGCATCACCTTCTGGAACGCCCGAAACTGTTGCAGCATTGTTTCTGTCAGGATGCCAGGATTTTCGAACTCAATGCCTCCTGACGCTGTTGTTTTGTCCGCTTTCTGAAGCTCCCCCTCTTGGAGTTTTTGTTTTTGGAACTCCTTTTGCATCATTTTTTGCTTTGTTGTTGTATATTTCTCTTCTTTGTTTCTTTTTTTTGAAGTTGCCTTCTTGGCTCTTTTCCTTTTTTTAATTTGTTTCTTTTTTAGTTGGGACTATTAATGTCCTCTTTTCAAAATTGTATGTGTTCTTATTTTATTGGAACTTTTGTTGTCCTCTTTTCACTTTGGTTTTGCCCCTATGGCTTTTTTTCACTCAAAAGTATGTACAAAGTGTTTTGTACACCCTCTTCGTTCACCGTTTGCAATTAGAGGTCACTTAATTTAATATGTGTCTTTCAAACTTTGCACAGGTTTTTATATTATTCTTAGGATGATTGATGTTACAAAAGGTATATGTTTGTTCTCAGTAATATATAGTACTCATATAATATTATCTCCTAATATTCGTCGAAAAATGTGATCAGATTTGGCCGATTTGAGGTATTTTGAAGGGCTCAAAAGTATTTTTGAGGTTATAAACCATTTGTCAAAAAAAAATTATAACAAAAGTCCACTTTTTGATTTATTCCCCAGTAGTGGCTACTATTGGTTCCCCATTAGGCATAGCCTCAATTTAAAAGTACGTTGAGATTTTTAATGTTTTGATGCTTTGAAAAGAATTTTTTAATCAACATTGAAAATTTGGTATGGCAACCATATGAAGCCATGTGTAGAAAATATGCAAATTTTCTCTATGTTTTCGGTTTTTTTCAATAAGAATTTTTAATTGCAAAAGGCATTTTGAAACAATTCTACACAATACTCTATATCAAAATAGAACAGTGATTTTTTTCAGTTCCGCGATTTTTATAGAGGCTCTTCTTGAAATGTTCTCTCACGAAAACGTTTCCACTGTAATTACAAATAACCAAGAGAAAATTTGAGTCAGATCGGCCCAGCCGTTCTCAACTGACGTGTTACTATGCTTTTTTAAATTTTGGTGTGGCCAGTTCCTCCGGCCCCAAACAGATACCTAGTGTTGAAGGGAGAGTGAAGATTACGTCGTATACTAACTGTAGAACAGACATCTTCATGATTTTGGCAAATGTTAGAATTTTAGATAAATCGAAAAATGGGCGTAAAATTGGGCGTGGTAACTTTTTCTTTGCATAAAAACCTTACTCGGGATAGAACGAACATTTAGAAAAAATTATCAAAATCGTTCCAGCTGTTCATAACTGATTCAATTACCAACGAACCAAAATTTTTTATGTATATATATAGAGTAGGCGCCCAAATAAATACTTAGGGTTTGAGGGAAAGTCAACAATATCTCGTGTAATAATTTTCAAACCGATATCTTCATTATTTGGCGTAAAAATAGGCGTGTCAATATACATATTTTTTTTTTTAAACCTAACTCGTGGTATGATGAACGTTTGTACAAAAAATAATGCAAAACGTTGCAGCCGTTCTCAACTGATTCCATTACCAACGAACAACAATTGATTTTTATATATAGAAGAATATACATATACAACTTATAGATGGTTTTTATCAGCTGTCCCATATATGTATAGGGAAAATGTTATCGCAAAGATAAATAAATATTTAGGCGTATGACCATTTTACGCAGTTGTAATGATGCAGATACAGGGTAAGATAAAAAAATTGCAACAAAGCCAAACGCCATAATTTTTACATTTTTTTAAAAATTTTATTGAATGAACGCAAAAAATGTCGCAAATAGCATAAACCTTTAGAATAAGTACATATTTGTTCGAATTGGTCACCTTTGGCACGAATTATGACCTTGAAACGGTCAGTGAAACAGTAACACGCTGCCCGAATGTTGCTCTGCGGAATTTTGGCCCCTTCCCGGCGAAGCGCTTGCTTGAGGTGATCGACACTTTGGTATTTTTTAGAGCCAACATTGCTCTCCATATAATATTCGGCATTTATTCTGATGCCACGGTCGATTAATACTAGCGGAGAGCGACCATCGGCTGTTATGGCGGCCCACACCATCAACATGGCCGGTGCTTGAGATCTAGTGGAAAACCGAAGGTGCACATTTTCAGCTGACCTCTTTGGCAAGTAAACTCGATCATTTTGTTTGTTTACAAACTGCTGGACAACGAATGTTTTCTCATCGGATAAAAACAAATTCGGCAGTTCACCACTTTCGGCCAAGCAAAGCATCTCTTTAGCTCTTTTGAGTCTATTTTCTTTCTGTTGCGGTATAAGTTTTTGCACTTTTTGGAATTTCATTGACTTTACCACAGGCTCATTTTTCAATATTTGCCGAATGGAATATTGTGACATGTTCACCTCTCGAGTCATTTTTCGGCCATGCGACGTGGGTTTCGGTCAATTCGCTTCTTCACTTTTCGAACCATTTCTGCTGATGTTGCTGTTTCCTTCCGTCCTCTTCCTTGATGTCGGACTACGCTACCAGTAGTGATAGTACGATGAACAAAAGATTTATTCACATTTAAATGATGGAGTGCTCTAACGGTAGCCACTTGTGGTTTTCCAGCCAAATATAAAGAAATCACACTACCACGCTTGAATTCCTATTCTCACCAAAATGATTTTGTACGCTTGTAAACAATATAATGAGCTGTCACTGGAATAATTTTAACAGCTGTCGGACGAGTGGTTTAAAAATGACAGCAGTCAGTTTTTTTCAGTTCCTTGTTATTTCGTACTGAAACATGTTTTGCGGTTTCATACATCACATGTACAAGGAATTATTCTAGAATAGACGTTTGAACACATAGATGTCTTTTGTGCTACTTTTTTTGTAGTCTACCCCTTAGAAAGCGATTCAAAACCTTTTACAACATCGTTGGACTAAATCATAGTAAACTCAATTAGCATTATGCTTTTAATCATCTTTACCGTTTATTTTTTTTTTTTTTTGTCGAACTTAAAAGTGAAAGGCTTGTGTATTCAAGTCAATTTTTCTTCTATTTGAAACAAATGTCACTATTTCAGTAGAGTATTAGAATATGAATTTTAATTAGCAAAAGATAGTTTAGTTAGTGGAATATATGTTTTCATTTTTAAAATAATTTATTCCCTTTACAGGTGAAAGTAATTTGGTTAAAATATTTATATAAATCAAGATAAGTTCAGTTGCGATATTTCAGTTAGTAATGAAACGGTTAGCGTGCTATACAGAGTTATTGTGTCTGGTGGCACTGAGTGCGTTGACAACAGAAACCAAAGTTAATGCTGTAAATCCCAGTGTAGAAAGAAGCGTTGGCGGACGGAACGTTTTGCAAAATGAAGGAAACTTTCAAGCTGCTATTACATATAAAAGGCGTTTGACATGTAGCGGGTCGATTCTAAGCAGTGATATGGTACTAACTTCTGCGTCATGTGTTCAGGATTTGGATTTGTCGCACATTAAGGTTCGATGTGGAAGTAAAATCTTTAAAACAGGTGGACAAGTGCGTAGTGTAATAGAAATCCTACTGCATCCGCTATACCAAAAAGATGAGCATATGAATAACATTGCCTTGTTAAAACTAAAGAGAGCTTTCAATTTAACATCGACCAGCATAAACGGTATTAAGTTGCCAAAAGAAAATCAAAAATATGAATTCCCATCGTTTCTCTTCATTTATGGCTGGGGAATATCCAGTTTAAATGTTAACGGAACCCTGAGTAAACATTTGCGCGTATCCAAATATAAAGTTTATTCGCATAGCAAATGTTTACGTTATTTATCAGGAAACGACAAACAGAACGACTCAACTGCGATTTGCGTGGGGGATCGCAGCAAACACTTCGATATATGCAACGACGACAGCGGAGGACCGGCTGTGAATCAAAACCAGGTTCAATATGGTGTCATTTCACATGGCGGAAAGTGTTTCCCAGAAAATGTAGTAATTCTTACGAATATAGTTCCACATTTGTCATGGATAAGAAATGTACTGAGACCTGGAAAATAATAAAAGAATGTATAAGTGAATATAACATATTTTATTGCAAACAATAATATCGATAATAAATAGAACGTTATACTTTTACAATTATTTTATATTATGCCATTTGCGAAATTGATTCCCATATTTATTTTCTATAGTGCTAGTCTCTTTGGGGCCATTCAACCGCTTAAAATAGTTTGGACACCTTGTAGGGCAAAATTTCCACATCGTAAGGGTTTCATCACTTCCGGTCGTTGCAACTCGAGTTCCATCAGGACTCCATGTTAGAAATCTAGCTCCGCCGTCGGGAATTCTCAGTATGTCGACAATTCGGTCTAGCGAAGACATAACCAATACCTTATAATCATTACACAGAGCTCCATCTACGAAAATGTATGAATATATTTAAAAATCCAATTAGTTCTTACAGTATAGAAATATTGTGCAATCATTGAAACTGAGTTTCACAGATCCAGTTTTAATATGGATGGATCATTAAAAATAACTTGACTGAAAGCTGTGTTATTAATGTAAGCAAATAAAACAAGTAAAAAGGGCAACTAAGTTCGGCCGGGCCGAACTGTTAATACCCTCCACCATTTTGAAGGAACTTGTATAGGCTATCATATAATGGACCCCGTCAGAATTTTGACCTTTCCTTATTGGTTTTTCTTTGAGGAATGCTGAAATCGAATGCGCGTTGTAATCATATACATTTTAGTGATTTTACTGCTTTATGCCTAGTAGGATACAACGCATGGCACATTACGTTGAATAAAACATTGGATATTGCATGGGTGAGATGAAAAAACTGCAATCAACTTCAGACTGCTGTCATTTCTAAGCCACTCGTCCCACAGCTGTTAAAATTATTCCAGTGGCTATAGTTAGTGCACTCCAGCATTTAAAAGTGAATAAATCTTTTGTCTCGTACCATCGCTTCGTACCGTGATATTGGTAGCGTAGCCCGACGTCAAGGAAGTGGTGATATTTGTCACATTTTTGCACTGATTTGTCTAAAAATTGGAATGTGTTGGCCATGATGGGTTTTAGCTAGTGTGGCGAAACATTGAAGGTATAGGTCCCCGTTGTATGGGCCATGATGGGTTTTAGCTAGTGTGGCGAAACATTGAAGGTATAGGTCCCCGTTTTGGCATACACCCCATACAACGGTACCACCCGATATTCGGTAGCGAAACATTGTATATGTAGGACCACGTTATGGTATAGCCCCCATATAATGATACCTCCCGATATTAGATATTTTGATAAAAATTGGTATTTGCTGTTCATTATGGGTTCTAGCCCGATGGCAGAACATTGAATATTTTGATAGTAGTCACATTTACCCACATTATTGTTTAAAATTTGGTATTTTAGAAGATTTGATAGATGACAATCCTTGAAGTATAAAATTGCTATAGAGGTTCCCGTTTTGGTATGGCCCCATATAACGGCCTCACTCACTTTATGCTTTTCGATAAACTTAACTGCATTATGCAAAAGGTCTTACTTTTATATAAAACTAGCTGAGTTTTTGTCTATTATGCATAGTTGTCAAAGCATAATTATTTACAGATGTGATTGTTATAAGCGTTCACGTACTGGTCGATATATTTTTAGTCAAATGAACTTGTAATTTACTGTATTTTGTACACCTCATAATTGAGGGCTGAATGAGTTAAGAATAGCCAAAGTTATCTACTTCTTAAAACCCATTAGCACCTCAGATTGTGCATTAGAGTCCTCATAAGTCCCCCTAACCATGTCGGTCTGTTTGTCCGCCAAAAGGTGGACTTGAGGGGTACTATTACATGGAGAAAATTCTAAAATTTGTAGATATGTTGAATTTTTTGTGTAAGATTTTCACCCCCCAAATACACATTTTTAGCCAAATCCTTTGAAATATGGTAAAATCAGGAGGTACCTTTATATGGACACTACTGCGAAACATCGACCTACATTGGAAACTATCTTCACCCCTTATAATCCTAGATGACAAATAGATGGCAAATCAAAAATATAGCAGAATAACATAGCATGTCAAACTGAAAAAAATCACTTGATTTAAATAAGTAAAAATAGTTTTATCCATCTCATAATTGAGGGCAGACTGATTTCAGAATAGGCAAATATATTTACTATTTTACACCCATTACCGTAAGATGGGAATTAATTTTATTTGTCATTTAAATTGTAAGTTGAAGACCCCATAAAGTCCATATTTTTCATCATAGTAAAATTCAATGACGATTCAACAAATACTTACTACTTTCTTATATTTGTAATTTGTTCATGTTTTCATATAGATGTACATCCCAAATCTACGTTCCCAACAAATATTCTCTTGGGGTTTACAAATTCAATAGAATACAAAATTTTCTTTTCTGACCACACATTAGATGTGAAAGTGGACTTGGGGATACTCCAATGTGGGGACTTTACTTAAAAAAATTCCTATGTGGCAATTATCTGTATGATGGTTCCTGACCCCACGGTAGCATAAATACAATTTATTAGCCAAATCAATTGATGAATGTGGTCAAGACCAATATGGGCCCTACTCCGAAAATTTTATGCGAAGAGGTTCTCTACCCCCTTAGAAACAAAGATGCCAAATAATGGCCAAAAATAGAAGAAAGTGGCGAAGACCCCAAAAATAGCTTAAATCATACTATGGTTATATAAATATGAAATCAGGTTGTACCCTTATCCGTGAGTTATGATCGATATCATGACCTGCAAAAGCGATTTAAGGTATCTTGAATGTTTGGGAAGAATTTCTCGCTCTACATTCGCTCTACTATTTAGCACCCTTCATATTTGCTATTTTACTGATTGTACTCCCAAAAAATTTTGCATTTTGAGGTCTCATTGGACGGGTTTTTTCACATGAAAGAAGTAGGTCCACGCTTTGAAATGAGCTCCATTAGGTTTTTCGGTCATTTTTGTTTGTTTAAATGTGTGCGCATCTTCCAGCTGAAGCACGATGTAGGCCCTGGAGTTGAAAGGTAGATGTCAGTTAACATCGTATTTCGCATTTATTTCATTTTTTAGTGAAAAATTGTATATAATGAATAATTATTATTTATTTTGTTCACAAAAAATCCACTGAATTCAATATGATAACATAAATTGAAAAAAATTGACAAAAGAAGAATAACAAAGTGAAAAAATCTTCAACTTGTTCGCTGATTTTTTACAGCAACTGTTTAAATATCCTTACAAAGTTTGTCAATAGAATGTACTATTATTTTAAAATTCGATTCCATTGAATTTTTTTTCGATTTTTACCCGATTTGAGAATTTTTGCAATGAGATCTCTTCTTCGTGATTTTTTAGCGATTTTGAAAAAGTAATTATCTTTTAACTTTGGTGCGACCGCTTAAAATTATTTCGATATCATCTAATCCGTTTCGCCATCAATTTCAATTCTCAAGAAATCAAGTCAATTAAATAAATTGGTATTAATATTCAAATTCAAATATAAAAGGTAAAAGCACTACAAATGTACATTAGAAACAAGTAAAAAAGCAATAAGTTCGGCCGGGCCGAACTTTGAATACCTTCCACCATTTGGAACGAATTAGAAAATTTTCAAAAAAATAAAATCCATTAAAAATTCTTTTAAAATCTTTAAAATATCTAATATAGGAAAGTGCCGATATATGGGGGGATATACGATATTGTGGACTTGTATAGACAATTCTATGTCTGCGTGTAAAGTACTCACAAGGAACTCCTTGTGTGGATTTTCAGACAATTCCGTTGAAAAATGTGGGTAAAATGATCAAAATACCGAATATCGGGGGTACCGTTATATGGGGGATGTACGATATCGTGGACCTGTATAGACAATTCTCTCTCACGGGGTAAAGTACTCGCAAGGAACTACTTGTGTGGATTTTAAGACAATTCCATTGAAAAATGTGACTAACATCATCAAAATATCGAATATCGGGTGGTACAGCCCCCAATTAACGGTACCCCCGATATTCGGTATTTTGATGATGTTAGCCACATTTTTCAATGGAATTGTCTGAAAATCCACACAAGTAATTCCTTGTGGGTACTTTATACCTCGGCAGAGAATTATCTATATAGGTCCACAATATCGTATAGCCTCCATTTAACGGTACCCCCCACGGTATTCGGCATTTTGATGATTTTAGCCACACTTTTCAACAGAATTGTCTGAAAATCCACACAAGGAGTTCCTTGTGGGTACTTTATACTTCGGCCGAGAATTGTCCATATAGGTCCACGATATCGTATAGCCCCCATATAACGGTACCCCCGATATTCAGTCTTTTGATGATATTAGCCACATTTTTCAATGGAATCGTCTGAAAATCCACACAAGTAGTTCCTTGTGGGTACTTTATACCTCGGCAGAGAATTATCTATATAGGTCCACAATATCGTATAGCGTATAACGGTACCCCCACGGTATTCGGCATTTTGATAATTTTAGCCACATTTTTCAATGGAATTGTCTGAAATTCCTGAAAAGGAGTCCCTTGTGAACATTTTACCCCCTCAAAAAGAATTATCTATATAGGTCCACGATATCGTATAGCCCCCATATAACGGTACTCCCGATATTCAGTATTTTGATGATTTTACCCACATTTTTCAATGGAATTGTCTGAAATTCCAGAAAAGGAGTCCCTTGTGGGCATTTTACCCCCTCAAAAAGAATTGTCTATATAGGTCCACGATATCGTGTATCTCCCATATAACTGTACCCCCCGATATTCGGTATTTTAATGATGTTAGCCACATTTTTCAATGGAAGTGTCTTAAAATTCACACAAGTAGTTCCTTGTGAGTACTTTACCCCCAGACATAGATTTGTCTATATAGGTCCACAATAGCGTATATCCCCCGTATATATATTTTAACAGAATTGTCAATGGATTTTATTTTTGAATATTTTCTAATTCGTTCCAAATGGTGGAGGGTATTCAAAGTTCGGCCCGGCCGAACTTACTGCTATTTTACTTACTGCTATCCTTTTCGAACAGAAGGCAATTCCGAATTTGTATGAATCGTTAAAATCAGTCCAGCGTTTCTTAAGTTATAAGCGTAGTAACTAACACAACTTTGTTTTATATATATAGATTGTTTCCTTTCCCTAAGGTGGCGGGTATTGAAAGTTCGGCCCCGCCGAATTTAATGTTTTTTTACTTTTTTGTAATACATTATTGCGTAAACAAACAAATCGCAAAATTGAGTGGCATTTCTGTTGCTATTAGAGAATTCGAGGTAGCAGCATACTTCCTCGTAATAATCCGTTCATCAATTAAATTTTTGTGTAGTTTTGTACTGTTAGTCTAATACCATTGCAAAGGCGTTGTGGGACAAAATCATATCCCAATCT